ACAGGGTAGTAAGAAAGACATTCTACGTGTTGTGGTGTATTGTAAAAAAAGGAATAGGGGGGGGGGGGGGGGGGGGGGGGGGGGGGGGGGGGGACTATAGGAGCAGAAACAGCCCATCAGAGATCCTCTGCTGCTCTCACCTGGTGAACAGGAGACATGGCGCCCACTCCACTTCCCTGTCTGCAAGCAAGTGCGACGAGGACTGCCAAAGTGACGGTAAAACTGAGATGCACACTCATACTCTATATGTGTGTAAAGGTGATGGAAGCCCTGAGGCAACGGGGGCAGCTCTGGAGGGCTTCTGGTGGGCACCTCAGACCAAAGCTGCTGGCCAGCTGCAGAGGAGAAGAGCTTGTGCAAAGGTGTCTTCCTGGAGGGACAAAACCGGTCTATCATGCATTGAGTTAAAGGCTTTGGGATGTGAGTGTAGACGAATATTCTGCATGACCCTTATGCTATTTTTTAAATGCAACAGTCAGTCAATAACCACACACCTAACTGCACAGCACAGGATGTCAAGTACATGTCCCATCATATTTGTAAAATCCATTATTAAACATACCTGAATGGTGCCCGAGGAGGCAGGGCAGTTTGTTTGACCAGCTCTGATACTTTAGGTTCTCGGCATGCTGGAAATAAATACATATGGTGTACAAGATAACGCTCATAACATTAAGAATGCAGACAAATCCCAATGTTCTGCATGTGGTAACTAGAAACCAACAAGAAATCTGATTTGCACTACAACACTCCATTTGTCTTTTAATCATCAAAATGGTAATGGTGCTTTATCATTAGGATAAATACATAAATAAAAATGTGACAGCACCTCTGACACAGATGGGTTGTTTGCCACCCCAGGTCCCTCCTGGCTGACAGGTACGTCTCTTATCTCCACTTAGTGCATACGAGTGGTTGCACATGAACTCCACTGTCTCTGACTCCATCCCTGGCACCACCAGCTGGTAGCCGTTGTGCAGGCGAGGCAGAGGTGGACACTTCCTTTCTAAAGAAGTGAAACAAGTAGCTATGGATGAAGGCTGGACAGACATGAAATCATCTATTTTTGTCTTTCTCAGTCCATCTCTTACCAATGAAACTTTGGTTAATTTCTTTCTCCTTCTTTTTTTCTTCCTGCTCCTTCTTTGTTTCCATCTCTGCCGTGTTCTCCAAGGAATCTCCTCCAGTCTCGACTTTTTTATTCATCAATTTCTCCTTTGACTTCACAGGTTCATCCTCTGCTCTGTACAAGGTGAATTGTGTCACATTGACTCGAGTGGGAAAGATTTTCCTCCCTGTCACTGAAGTTTCGATAGTATTGTTTTCTTTATTTGTATCCTTTGAATCCGGTGTAGCTGTGTTGTTCTTTGTCCTTTCCAGTTCAGATATATCTACAGTGTTGCTACCCTCTGGTACAGCTGTCTTCAGCTTGGTTTCATTTGGACCAAATTTGTCTGGATCTCTTTTTCCGTTGATTTGCTCCTCTTTTCTTTCCTTCTCCTCTTGTCCTTTGTCTTTTCTAACCACTGGCACTGTGGTGTTTGTCTTCTCTTTCTCCAGGTTAAAGTCTGAGTCACTTTCTTTTTCCTCAGGCGATTTTGTTGCTTCTGGTTCTTTCTCTTCAACTCTGTTCAGATTGTCATCTGGGTCTACATTATCCACTTCATTTTTCCTGCCCTCACCGGGCTCTTTTGACCCTGTATTTCTCTCCTCCAAGTCTCCTTCATCCCTGCCTTTATCCACAGCATTTTCTGGAGTGGTTAGACCATATTTATCTTCCACGTAGACTGGTGTTGTAATCTCCAGACCAGAGTTTATATCTTTCCCACCAACCGTTTTGCTTGCTGTTGTATTTTGTTGTCTCTCTTTAGTTTTGGTGAGCTTTTTATCAATGTCCATGTTTTTGCCCTTTTCCGTCTTTTTCTCAGCTTCAGTTAGTGTGTTGTTCACTATGGATTACATAAAAAAGAAATGATAAAACTCACCTATTGTGTATCTGAGTTGTTGACTGCATGTTGTTTGGTTCAAAATTACTTCATTATGCTTTAATTTGTCTGGTTTGATAAATATTTAGTGTTTTAACAAAAATAAATGAAGTGATTGATATGACTATACCTCAGTAATAGTCATTTTTATCTCATATGGTAATGTGACTGACCTTTAGTGCAAACAGGAGGTGCCCCGCTCCATGTATTGTTAGGAAGGCAGGTTCTCTGTGAACTCCCAACAAGTTCATAGGGCTGGTGGCACAAATACTGAAGAGCAATGAGGACATCGTTGGGTCCATAAACTAAAAAGTGGTTACCGTTTCTAGGTTTGGATGGCAGAGTGCAGACTCTTTCCACTGGCACTACAAAGGAAAGGAAAGCAAGATTTTTCCATAATCTGCAACATCTCTTGGACTTACAAAAACAAGCATGTGGCACACTCATGACTTTCCAGATCCATGTCTGCAATGGTTTAGGAGTTTTTTTTATTTTTATCTTACCACACTCTGGAGCAGGAGCACTCCAGGTGCCATCACTCAGGCAGATGGCAGTACGAAACCCCTGCAGCTCAAACCCAGGGTCGCAACGATACTTGATGCGGGCACCAGAGTGATGAAACAGACCCTCTGTAGAACCATGTGTGGGCACTGGAGGCCTGCGGCAACCCACCACTGAGTGAAAACACAGGCATGCATAGTTCATTTATGGGCACATGCTGCCGTCATTTGCTTTTAATTAACCAAATGGTGGATGTTCACAAGTACGTTGCACAAAAGAGTCAGAAGGCCTTTCCAGCATACCTCAAAAATTGGTTTATTGTACATCCATGCTGTAAAAGAAAATAAATAAATCCATATTGAGTTTGTTGCTCTCTGATATTTTCAGGCAGGTACTGGAAAAAGTAAAATCTAGAAGAGTTCCCAACTGAATTTCCTTCATTTTGAAAAGCTCAGGGATTTAAAAGCTTACCCTGCTACATCAGAGGCTCATTAAACAATAATTTCACCCATCGAAGTCAAGTGTGAACAGTTCACAGCAAGACTTTAACACATGGCTTGTTAAAGAGTGCAAAAATAGAGCAGTAGTCAAAATGTTCAAATTTCCACTACCGTAAAAGAAGATTTAATGAACTGGAGTAGCACAGATTGGTAATAGGCTTGCAGAACCGCTGTTAGATAACACAACCCACAACAAAACAGATTCAGCCATGTGACAGATAATGGAAATGCTTTCAGTCTGTTTTTGTAAAATTGGCATCTACATTTATTTTAAAGACAAACTCAGAAAATGATCTCAATACAGTCGTCCCTCGTTAATTCGCGGTTCGACTTCCACGGATTCCTTTTTTCGCGGTTTTTCAATGATTGTCAACTTTAATATTACTCACGTGATTGGGATGGTATGAGATGAAAAGTAAAAAAAAAACTTGGATCAGGCGCCGCCATTTTGTAGTTTTTTTTTCAATAAGCCTTCAAAAGAACTACATTACCCATAAGCCAACAGTGCACTTCATGCAGCCAGCAGTGCTTCCGGCAGTTGCTTTCTGCCAAAATGGTGGGAAAGTTTTGTAACGCAATCCTACGCTATCTATGAAGCTCACAGAGCTTGCAGGAAAGTCGCAAATAATCCTGAAGTTCAATTATCCACGCGCACATCAACCTTGACTGGGCTGTGGGCTTCATCGCTGCAGGGTAGGTGTGCAAAACCAGAACTGAGCTGCTGGTCTGCAGAGCTGGTGAGTAAAATTTTGCAGTAGCTACTGTAGATATACAATAATAATAATAAAATAAAAAAAAACTTGATATGTGTTGTCATCATTGTATGTTCCCATACAATGGCAAAATTGGCTCTCTGCACCATCACACCTGGGATACACTCAGGTGGAGCAGAGGGCAGCTATTGAAAGCACCCTGGAGCAATTGGGGATAAGGTGTCCTGCTCAGAGACACCATGAGATGTGCAATGACTGGGGATCGAACCTGGGACTTTCAGGTCCCGAGTCGGCTGCCCTGCCTCTACCCCATCTGTATGCTGTTAAAATGACATAGAGTTTAGAACATTGCAAGAGTGTGGGAAGGGTTTATATAGCCTTAAAATATTTATAAATACTAAAATAAATATAGCGTTCCTACTTTGCGGTTTTAACACCTATCGTAGGGGTATTTGGAACGTAACCTCCGTGATAATCGAGGGACTACACATAACAGAGTCATGCAGTACTAAAATAAAGTTCACAAAACATTCATTAATACAGTTGTATCACTTCTCTAAGGGATCATTCAGGAAATGTTCTGTTGTTGGTGTAAGATGGACCAGATACATGAAATACACTGTCTGTGGCTTCGTAGCTGCAAACCCTTCCTGTATTCCAGACATTTTTGACACACAGCATGTCCAACCTTTGGTGTGTTATTGAATGTAGAATGCCAGTGGTCAACCAAAAACTGAGTTAACCATATATGACCTTCTTTAAGTATGTACAAACAAAGATGAAGCTGCCTGATTTGCCATTTCTTTGCTATTTTATTGTCATGGTATGTCCACAGACATAATGAAATCAGTATGAAGTTATTAGGATGGAATGTGTGCTGTCCTTTATACCATATAACATGAGTTTCTGTCTCATCATTCCTTTAGTTAATGCTTTGGAAACTTTGTTGAACAATCCAATCCAAAACAGATTTGACTTTCAGGAAGATTAAACTTTGCCAGACAAAGAAAGAAAGAAAGAAAGTGAATAGAAGACTATATTTCTTTAAGAGAGATGAGAAGGGAAGGCATGTCACATTTTAGCTCAGGCTCCCTGCAGATGACAAGTTGATTATTAGCAGCATGAAATATACAGTAGACAATGTCAAGTTTATTTAAAATTCTCCATCTGACAATGAGAAAGACTAAATTTAGTATAATAATTTGAAACATTGTCATTAATTCATCTTTTTATTCTTTAAAATTAACTTCTGAGAATTCCCGAGATGAGTACAAATTAAAGGGTGTTTCCTTTAATGGAAAAACTAACCACAGTGTTAGAAAATATTGGAATATTTTTTTAGACTTGAAAAACAACATCCCGTAAAAGAGGTAAGTGCACTTAAGGGTGTGTTTTGTTGCAAGTTCTCAAGGGATGTATATAAAGCATGAAAGCACATGGTGGGGTTCAGACATTCATAAATTTAGGGGGGGGAAAGGCTGTTACCACACCCTGAGGGAGCAGGACCCCACATGGCAAAGAGGCTAAACAGCTTTAGGGTGATACGTAATGTCTTCAGAAACAAAACTGTTTCATTATAAGATCTTTTTTCTTATTATATTTTGCTTGCCAATCTTTCCTTTTTCACTTCATTTCCTTGTTCATTAGCTTTGCTATTCATCCGTCTACAGTAAGATGAAATCATACATCAATTATCTCCGTTAATTCTGCTTCATTCCATGCAAACATATTTGTTAGGTAATCTTTTGGATTTCTGACGCCTCCTCTGAAACCTATTTTATAATTCTTGCACACCACAGATGGGAAGGCGGCTGGTGTGACCTCAGTCCAGACCACAAACGTCCCCCTTGTGAGAATGAATCACCGCCTGCCTCGGGGCAGCAGCACTGGCAAAAAAGCAAGGGCTTTAAGGAAGATGTCATATCTTGATAAATGTGCTGTAACTAGGCGTGCCTCTTTTCAAATGAAACACTAAAATAGTTCAGGTATTTCTATGTGCCATTAATGCTTTTCAGGTGCTTTGTGGGATGGAATATTTGAGTTATGAATGACTTACTCCTCTAAGAACCTATGACCTAAATGTACTATATTGTTTTATACAGATGCTAAATAGAAAGGTATTTACAATAATTTGCTTGAGTATAGTATAAACCTTGGCAATATTACACACTTACCATTTTCACACCTCTTGCCTGTGTAGCCAGCCAGACAGGCGCAGTGATAAGTGTAAGAACTGTCCAAGATACAAGTCCCGTCGTGCAGGCAAGGAGAGGAACTGCATGCTGTAAACATGAAAAACATGACACTAAAACACAAGGAGAAACATAGTTTAATAGCTGATTAGATTGACCATCCATATCATGTTACATCAAGCCATTTGGATTAAAAAGTGGGGCATGTTTTGCTGTATTTTCTTACATTTCCACACAAAATCCCCTGTTTGATTTACGAGCTCTGACTTGGCTGCAGATAACTTGTGTGTATGTATGAGCTTGCAACCTAAAACATGAGGACATTTCTGGAAAGTAAGGACATATTTGTTTCTCGGCAGACCAATAACAACCTCTGCATCCTGAAAAAGGCTTTTGCTCTAACATGCAGGTGCCAGTCATGCTCCATTAAAAGCTTTTAAATTATACTGGCCATTGGGTTCCATGGAAACTTGGTTCTTGTTTGTATTTGTTGTGGAACACTTTCAAAGAGCCTCTTTGTTCATTGAGTAAAAATTCACGAATGGTCATTTATTTATTGCATATAAAACAATGGCACAAGCCACTTTCAAGAAATTAGAATTTAATTTAAGGTTAAGAGGAAAATTGTTCTCTTGGGCAATAAGTGAGGTAAGATTCTGGACCTCTCACATGTTAAAGATGTAAAAGATTCTTCATAGGTCCAACCTACCTGAGCTTTCCTGGAAAGTAGCGAAGAACCCATCAAAGTTCTTGTACCCATCAGACACAAACGTAATGTGCAAACTGTTGCTAGAGCTCTGAAGTGGAGCTGGCCGGCTGTTCCCACAGAATCTACCGATGACACGAGCATTGATGCTGTCTCCATCTCGGACCTCGACGTAGTCATAGCGACAGGAAGGATGAAATTCCAGACTTAGCATCATAAACCTGAAAGAACCGAAAGACAGGACGAGTTCGGTTAAGTTTAAAAATATGATGTGAAACTAACATTTAAAAGTTTATTTAATAAAACATAATGACTGCTCTTAAAGTGGAAACTGACAGGATCCTGGAGAGTCCTCATGTCTTGCTGAGGATCTCAGGAGGACGCCGAAGACATGTACAATTGGATTCTTGATAACAGTTTTCCTGCGTTTTGGAATCGGCTGGTTCCTGGTCTATCAACATACAAGAAGACAGCTACAGCTAATCTGGCCCTTGTCAGGCTGCCTGCCTTGTGAAAGTTTGGTTTGTGCTTTGAGGACTCAAAATTAGCTGATTTATGAGCTAAACCATAAGATGGAAGTGATTTGTGAGAATCACAGGGACTCACCAGCATGTTAGAAATTACCTTGGAGGGGCTTGTAAGCACTTACCAGTAGAATGCACCCTCATCTGGCCATTTCTGATCTTGAAAATACCAGTAGGACTCAAGGCTGACAAGAAAAACAGTCTGCCTGAAGAAAATCAACAATTGTAGCTTATCTGGCTCAGACTCCCCTGGTTGGCCTTGAAAACAGGCTGACATATCAATTTCTCCTAGCAAATGTGTAAACTAAGGCAAAAGCCCCCCCCAACTGAGAAAATCTGTGGAGGTTTATCAGAACTGTGTCGGCTGATCAACATCTTATCAGGACTATGGTCTATCTGGAAGTGCTTCATGAACCACCTTACCGTTCATGTTCAGAGGTTTTTGATGTCTTAAATCGTGTCCTGATAGGAGAAGGTTTGAATATATA